AGTTTGACTACATTTATTTCAGAAGCATTTTGGCTGTAGAGCAGTGTAATTTGTATTATGGCATCTCCAAAAGCCCCAACCAGAATCAAGGTTCCATTGTGCGAAGTGCTGTACAAACACATTGCAAGATCCCTGCTCTTTAGTGTTTACAGTCTAAGGCTCCAATCATGAAAGGCACATACATAAGTATTAACTGTACACATAAATAGTCCCATAGAACTTTAATGGGACTTCTCACATGTGTGAAGTTACCCTCCTGTCTAAATGCTCCCAGGCTCAGTGCCTAATTTGAGACAAAATGCAAGGTATAAGCATAGGAGACAATAGGCGGAAGGAGGACATGGATGACACTATTACATATGTATTTCATGTATCTTGCATATTTTGTATATCATCATCTGCCTTTTCCATTCCCCACTTCCCAGCATTTACATTATAAATCTCCCTTTATAAGCATGCATAGCTTGGCCAATAACTGTAAAGAGCTGACCTGTAACTGAAACTCATCATGAAATGAAAAAAACTTTGGCTTTCTAATGTTAGAAGGTCAAAACTGACCCCCTTGGGTGGCCCAGGCCAGAAAGGATGCATGGAAAGGACAGCCATTAAATTAACCAGTCCATGCTCCCTCACCCATCTTCTCTTTCACACTATCAAGACATAACCACCTGTGCTAGTGATGCCACCCTTCATCTCTCATTTGTTACAATTTTCAAACAAGGACCTTTGTGTTTTCTCTCATGCCACCCCTCAAGCATGGAAGCGGCTCCCTCTAAATATCCGCAAAGCCACCTCATTGTCTTCCTTCAAACCCTCCCCTACTGGGATGCCTACAGAAACTTGACAGCAGCTAGGCTGCTGGTCTGCTGAGACCTCTGCTTATGCTGTTCAGTTTTATCTCATTGTTTCCTTATGCTCCCCATCTATCTGTAATCACCTGTTGCCTTCTGTTTTCTAGTTAGACTGTAAGCGCCTCAGGACAGAAACTGCCTTTGTTTTGTGTTCGTAAAGCACCTAGTACAGTGAAACCCTGGTCTATGACTGAGGTATCCAAGCACTCCAGTAATACAACTCAACAATAAACAAATAAAAATATCTCCTCAGTAGTGTGCCCCTTATGGCAATTAAAGCTGCCTGTCTGCAATGGGAACCCAGAGGAAAGGCTGGGGATGACTAGGACACCTGTCTTCCCTCGTGTTGAATCCCATGGGGCGCAGGGAGGTGTGTAACATATACCTCCTTGGATCAGCCTGGCTGAATGCAGCTCAGAACAACATTTAAAATAGATCATTTTGCATAGGAAGATGCTGTATTTGACTCATATACACCTTAAAAAACGTGTCTGATTTGATTAAGCATTCATATCTATTTAGGGGACTTATACACGCATTATCACGATAGTATCTGACCACTTCACAAGCTTTAATTAATTTATTCTCAAAACACCCTCGTGCACTAGGGAAGTACTAACTTTTCTGCAGGTTAGGAAATGAGGGGCATGGGGATTAAGTGATTTGCTAAAGGTCACACAGGAAGACAGTGGTATTGAAATTAAAACCAAAAGTATTGAGGAAATTGAAAACAAATCTCCCCAGGCCCAGGCCAACAACCTAATCACAGGACCATTCTTCCTCTCAAATGAAGTTAATGCTCAGTCCACAATGTAGAGTATATATACACTATATGTAAGCTCATTTACAAGCTGTTCTTGAGTTATAAGGAACCTTCTTTGGTAGCTGCTGCAGGACAATACCACATCTACAAGC